TGATATGCGCCCTTTCGCGCTGTCGGCGTGCTGCTCTCCACAGAACGGGGGAACGTTGTAGAGGAGGTTAATAAATACTGCGCACAGAGGACCCATCACTAGTGGGCCATAATCTTGGCACTGCGAAATATGCTCTGATTCAAAATGACAGTTATCGGGAAAAAAACCGCTTAATCGTGGTATGAAGGCTTGTCGGGTTGCATCTTCTAGACCTCCTCGCACTCTGTGCCATTGCTAAGGATTCGAGATTGGGAAGACGATGCCCTGATCATGTCTCTGAACTCTTTACATTAATGGCACGACCAGTGATTGAGGCTTCTAACGCATTCTGTCCTCTAACCTCATCGACATATGACGGGGATTGCCAATGTTTTTCTCGCACACGTGGTTCTGTAAATTAATCACGACCAACTAGCCAATCAAAAAATGCTCTCTCCTGCCAAAAAATGAGGATTTGACTCTTTTCACGTTGGGAGTTTCAAGGAATTCGGAGTGATGCAAGCGGGCAGATGCGAAACCTTGGCTATTAGTCAGATAATGACAGACATACTAGTGCAACGATGACTTAGTTCGAGCGACACATACAACATTAGATTTATACCCATCAACTTTCACAATGAGGGACAAATAATCTGAGTACTGACAAGGAAAGGATGCGTAGTCGAAAGCAGCAATTTAGATGAGACATATATCTTCTTAAAGCGCTTGAAACGCTGATTCCAAATCTGTAGTTCCTAGCAGCGGGTTTTGTAGAAGGAGTTATGAGGGATGTTTCCTCTGGGGTGAGGCGCCCTCCAGCAAGTTTCCCCTATCTATAAGCACTGTAGAGGAGTATCAACTGGTGGCGATTGGCCTAGTAGTAAGTGACTGCTTGATAAGGAGAGTGTCAAGGTTATAATTCCCTCTGCATGCTACTTTATCGCAATTCTTGCAAAATTGAGTTTATAAATAGCTTTAGCGCTATAGCCTGAAATTTCTGATGATATTGATGCTAATCGAAGTGAGAAGTATTAAAAACCAAAGTAATACAAGTACTATAATCCTTATTGTAATCTTCATTCAAATTACTTACCACTAGTCCATTTGCCACAAGTTGGTACTCCTCTACAGTGCTTTTAGATAAGGAGAGACCTGCTGGAGGGCGCCTCAGCCCCAGAGGGATACATCCCTCCTAACTCATTCTACAAAACCGCTCCGCTGCTAGAATCTACAATTTGGAATCAGCGTTTCAAGCGCTTAGATGCTATATGTCTCATCTGGTTTGATGCTTTCGACTAAGTATCCTCTCCCTGTGACCAGTGGACTGAATAACGGTTATATGCTGCCTTTATGCGACGCCTACGCAAATCACCGCATACCGGCGTCTATCGGCAGTATTTGCTCTATTATCAAAGCGCTGTTGAATCTCAATTGCAAAAACCGCAAGAATATCCTCTTCCGCATCGTGATTTTTTCGAAGAAGATGTTTTGTAAGTATGTTCAGACAGTAAATCGGAACCTTCGCTGGGAACTTAAATTCTGCTGCGGTTTTCATGGAAGACTTTCAAAACTGTCTCATAAAATTTTGTAATAGGTGTATTATTATAACCAAGGCTAGAATGTTCCACCAGTTTAAGGGCGGCACGAGCAATTCTAATTAGCCGCCCGATAAGCAGCAAGTGTCGGCAGTGTGGTGCAAGTCTCGAAAAGCTGCTAAGTAAGCTCGGGCCTGTAGTTGTACATGGTGTTCTACAGTGTGACAGGGTATTGGCCTTCCCGCAAGCGCCACTTATCTTTCGCAAGTTACTTGGAATTCGCTTTTCAAAGTGGGCTACGGTCCTCATGCCGATGCGGGTGAACAGAATCCACTGACGATTAGAGCTAGTACCTAGTCCGCGACAATAATATCGTTGTATCTATGTCACTAGCTGGGTGTACCGTTTATCTAGTGCAGGGAAACTGGATGTCTTGGCAGTCGACATGATGCAGAGGAGCTAAGCCAACTGAGCCGCAACATTGAGAAACCCAATATTCAAACATGACATCCTAGTGCACTGCTGAGGGGATTCGTACCAGCAAGTCCTCGCTACAATGGTCGGTCCTTATTAGTTGTATAGTGCATAGGAATATGGTTTTTTTTCAGACTGGAGCAAGCTATAGAAATGAGCCGTAATTGGCGTACTGCGGATGACCATGTTACAGTTGAAGAGAAAAAAGCATGAACTGAATATTACGGCACATTCCGTGGCAATTCCAGCACAGTCTATAAAAACATCATGACATATAATAAAGCGCTAAGCGTTTGCCTGTCCGTGTGTGTATATATGTTTGTTACGATTCATAAAGCGAGTTGCAGACAACGTCTGAAGCTAAAATTTTGCATAGTATACGCAGACAACGTCTGAGCTCACCCTGCGTAGTAGCGAAGGGTGGATGGGTCCTTCGAAAATGGCACCTGAAGCGGTTCCATTTGGCTTTTGGCACGCAAAACAGGACCGCCGATTCGACTTTTTGCAATGTCGAGTATTTGTCTGACAAATTAACTTGCGATCCATGAATTTCATTTCAAAAAAATGCTCTAAAGGTCTATTTTCCTGCTAAAGCAGCCCCAAAGAAGATTGATTGCGTCAATAGTTGATTAGTCAGGTTTTACCCCATAAATTGAAAAGATGCTTGCACCCCACAATCACCGATCTTACATGGAAAACTGAGAATGAGCAGTTGTTTACAATTCATTTGTGATGTTGATCATTGCGCGGTGAGTTTCAAAGTCATTATTATGCAATAAGAAGGTATATGGATAGTGCGAACCTCTGCGAAGCAGAGGTGGCGCACTGATCAACTATAACATGGGCGAATGGGGAAGAGTGACAGAGAAACTAGATGAGGTGTGTAGCTGATCCTAATAGGCGCGTTCTGTTAATCTACGGTGATAGATACTTAAAGCACAAAAGCAAGCCACATTCCATTCCATCAAGCAAAAGAAGCAAGCATCGTATACAGCCATTCGAGATTATTCTTTTACGTACGCCCATGCAGGAGAGCAGTAACATGACTGCAAGGGATGAGCCCAGTCGCGACACCACTTGCGATACTCGCTGCAACCAATTGTCTCAAATTCGATCCCGAACCCATTAGCATTCTATATTGTATTGAGAAATGTATATTCCCTTCGTTTTTTTTACATAGTTATAGAGGTAAAGGATATTCGTCGACGACCGCCCCGTTTAGTGCATTCACACCCGAGCGCGCTTTTTTGGAGCATTTCCACCTTTACAATACGCGGGGAATTTGCAGCGAGCAGCCTCCCTGTCCTTTCCCCTTTTGTTTATTAAGCATTTTACATCGTTTTTCCTTGTTAATTTTTATTTTAGCCACTTACAATTTCATTAGACCATCGCTCCGATAAAGTTAGAAGGAACAGTAAATTTTCTTCATAGTTGCAATGGTGGTTATCGTGTCTATGACCGGGAGTGCATGTTTTCTTGGGTGTTTTGAACTGACTTGCCATTTCTCTTAAAACAGACCACCGAAGTGGTTATTTCAGCACTTCTACATCAACGTTAAATGAAGGCGTGCTGAGATAAACATTTGAATGGTCTCATTTGAGGAAAAGGCATAATAATCACTACTGATTAAGAAAAAGCTCAACCTTTCCCCAACTATGTAGGGGACAGTGGTTCATGGCTCTGAAAATGACTGTAGATTAGGTAAAAAAGAGAAAGACTTCGAGAATTGCACCAAAACTCTTTCAAGTCTTTCAGAATCCATTAAAGAAGAACTTGTAGGATATTCGGTCATCGAGAGAACCAAAGAAGGGAAGGGTGCTAACTGCTTAAAATGAAGATTGAGAGGAAAGAAAAGGATAAGCTATGCTCAGTTAACAAAAGAGGTATAAGACAGGAATGCCGAGAGTTGCGAAATCCCCGCGCGCTGCAGCGCACTGTAAAGCTGAAAAGGCCCCAAAAAGACACGCCCACGGTGGTGTGAATGCACGAAACGGGCGGCCGTCGACGGATATCCTTTAGCCAGCCAGCAGAGAACATTTTATAGACATTTCAAATGTTAATCATGGTTATCAACTGTCATTATTCAGTCAAAGAAGATTTTTGAGCTTTAGCAAACCGCAATCATTTTTGAAGAATATAAGAGGGAGTCCGTCCTGCCTTGCACTGCCTTTGCAACTCATAACATGGAGCTTACAAGCTTTTGTACAAGTACTAACAAAACAAACGAGTTAATGAATGGTGGATGTTTCCTTCTGAGATGTTAAAATCAAATTGTAAAAGTTTTATGGCACATAAATTAACGACATTATAGAATACCAATCAATAATCTAGCTGTATAGAGCTCTGGTTGGAAATATTCACCCGTACAATAGAAGAACTCGGCACATTGTATGGAAAGAACGATGGCATTGCAACGGTGAAAGATGAACGAGGTGAGATAGTAAGATGAAAGATATTGCAATCAAACAACAGGGTCGTCTATGAAATATCGATATGATACAAATCAGGTAAATAGCTCTCAAGGCTCTGAATTGAGCACTACCAATGATATTCGAATAGAAAAAAACGCTAATGCTAAAGATAACAAGGTTATATAAAATACATAAAAGCAGATAAACTGATCACTCACACACGCAGCAGATGCGAAATGCCAAAACAGGTACCTACCCTTTTCAGACGGGAGGGAGATAGGGAAAAAGGAGCTTTGCGGCTCCCTGGCTCATTGAATGATTTGACATCTGTCAAGTGTAATAGTACAAAAGTGTAGATTACAGATATATGCGCTATGGCAAGATGTCTGGCTACGTTACACTATTGCCAGAACACCTAGACTCAACACAAAAGCAAGCCTTCAACCGCTTACGCCATTTCTTTAGAAAGTACTTTTGGATATACGTTTGAATACTTGGAGGTAAGTTTCGTTGCGTCTCTTCGGTGTGCAACTCAAGCTTAGCTATAAGCGAAAGGCGTTCTCAAACCAGCTAAGCTTAAGAAATTACATTATCTCAAAAGGTGTAGTTTAATCGCACGCAAAAAGATGCACGTGTTTGCATTGCATTGCATTATTGGTTAGTTTATGTAGATACATCTGCGAATATCGCTCGCATTACTTGTTGGGTCCCCTCTTTTGCACCCATTTCACGTAGACGTCATTGTACTCTGCGGAATGATGTCGCATCAGATGTCGCATGAAGTTGGACGAGCAAGGACTTTTCACCACTCCAGTGCAGATACCACATTGCGCATTTCCGTCTGGTGTTCGCTTGAAGTACTCCCAAACTGGATGCTCTGTTTTTCTGAAACGAACGTTTAATGTGTTTGTAAACAATATGCATAATTGGTGCTAACCTGTTCCTCTTCATGTAGGGTTTCTCCACAACCGCTGAAGTACCGGGTGTGGCAGTATTCCACCCACTAGGCGAAGAACTGATGCAACCGTGCAGAACTAAATTCAGGTGCCTTCACGAAGGGAACAACAAGAGCATTGCCATGTATATCTCACCTCCCATTTCTAAGCCGGAAGTAGATGGATCATGCGTCGAGGGCCATTGACTCCACTGTCCACGTTGCCAGGCCAGCGATGGATCCTGAAATTTGGTGCATTCACAAAGAGAAGCTCCTCATATTGCCGCACATTAAGGTTCAAAAATTCTCTAGAGTCGCAATCATGTGAGAATGCGACAAGCGGAGCTACGTTTTTCACGTGGCAAGAGAGCTTCAACTTTTCAATCCGCTTTAGCTTCAAAATATGTCATTTCCATTTCCTAGGAATCAAAGACAAATATGATGTTCCATTTTCACCTCAAAAGATACAGACATTTTCGCATAGTACTTGCAATAAAGCTTCCTCGTCAGAAGTCGTATTTAGTAAACATAGGCAAATACCAACATTCCGATCGTAACTGGAACAGTTTCTAAGCATGTCCTCTCTTTCGAATTGTGTATATAATTGCTGAGCGTAGTTCTCGGTCTTCACATATTGATTTGTAGACAGTATGCAGGATGTTTGATGTACCTCCGATGCTGATAAACCGCTTGCTACGGGGCCTTTCTGCTGCCTAAATTTATAATCAGCACTCATATATGAACACTTTCACTATCGCATTTCATATATTACTTGTTTTGAAACAGAGAAACACCATTTTGGTCAGATTCGAATTCACACCTGTACTGCTTGATTTGAACGATAAGTTGCTGATAGTCTTGCTGATGATGGCGCTCGAGATGTTTTGTCATATTGGTAGCACATGCGGATTTCACTACCTAAAATTATTGGTATACATATTATCAAACCCGTTTGTTTGTATATGAAGGTTTCTTTTGAGTGTTTTTATTCGCATAGAAGGTGCTCACAAAAATATGACGTACTAAGTCTTTCACAGTGAGCTCTTCAGCAATTACACATTTTGGATCTTGATGAGCGCAGTGCTCGTAGCAGAAGAAAAGGTCCGCTCAGTTGGATTGAGTCTTCTCAGATAAACTTCAGAATAAGTTGAACATAAGACTGCCCAATTTTTAGACTGTTCAAGTCCAAGTTCAGATGACAAATGAGCAGGTCAGCTGTCACTTTTTCTTATATGTGCCTTCGCTTTTGTGAATTTTCATTCATTATATAGTTTTGGGCTTTCAGATAAAGGATGAAATCTCAAAACACTTTTTTCGCTCCTCTTTTCATAAATTCGCGAAAATAGCAAGATTTGATTTCTGAAGAATGTGCATACGAATGATGGATTGGGAGATTTTGTGCTAGAAAATGCTTTTTGGACGAAATCTTCGGAAAATCATGGAAAAAGAATTTTCAAGGCAAATTTGTGAGCTTGTTGAAGCCCTTCTACGCCTAGAAATCTTAAGCAAAAGGAGATTGCAAACCTTCCGCATTTACAACAAAGGTAGACCCAGTACAGTAGTGCTTTCCTCACTTTCAAGCAGAGAAGAATCGAATATCAAGGCAATTTTTTGAACCAGCCGAAATGCCAGGAAAGTGGGTACTTTCAACTTTGCCGCTGCCCATTATTGCCGCTTTTCTCTTGTAAAAAGTTTCTCAAATCTGAGCTTGGTACGCATCACTTCTTATATGACAGCTGGATGCACAACGAGCAGAGCTTGGCCAAGGGCTCCGCACAGATCGTCTGGAAGCAGGCTGGACTTCGTTTTTGGAGCAAAAAGCAAAGGGGCAGTGGCGGACCGAGGACGGGGGGGGGGCGCCTCCCTCCGAGAATGGGTCGCGAATTTTTTGAAACTTACCTATATGGGTTATAAAAACGTGCAAATGACTTGATTTTTGTAAATAATTAAAATAATTTTTAAAATTTTTTAAAAACTCAAATCAGCCTTATAAAAAATTTTTTCGGGGGCGTGGCTGACGCCGCACCCAGTTTTTCCACATTTTAGGGGTTGGGGACCCGCAAAAACTTTAAGAAGCACCCCAAAAAATTTTTCGGAGTGCGTGGCTAACGCCATGCACCTTCATTTGAAAAAAATTTTTGTCGCGCCCTCCACCGGTCCGAAATCCTGGGACCGCCACTGCAAAGGGGATATCGTTTTTGCCGAGTCGGGGTTGAGCACCAAGGATAAGCGTCATTTGGCAAACGCAAGCTTTTCGTACAGGTTATCCACGATTGAATGCTCTGTCGTGTATGGCGAAAAGTGCACGCGATTTGAAAGCAAGGCTAAAATGAAAAAATTGCTTGTTTACAGCGCACACAGAATCATATGACACCAAAATTACACCGTATACATAGAAAATTATTTGCGGAAGAATTATGTAAAAATATTTGAAAACTTATGTGAAGTAATACCTTTTCCAAAATTAGTCCGTCTCGAGACGGCCACCAGACGATCTGAGATCGTCTGGAGCATATATTAGGTCGTTCCGAAAGTTCTTTCCGTTTTTTCAAGCTATCACAAAACACGGAGGAATGAAGGTAGGGAAACGCTTCAAATACTATCCGACGCAGCTTTTCTTTCTCTTTTAACTATTGTATTCCTGTGGCGCTTGCTCTTGCGATCAGTGAGATAATGTTCGAAATTTCGAATCCATGGTTTTCACAATACCCAACTTTGGAAATTTTTTACGATCTTCTTTTTTGACCTTCAGAGAAGCTTTAATAGCAGCCAGATAGAGCAAACAAAGTGCGATTTAATGCAATTTTTCGGCGCCTATAGCTAGTCTTGAAAATTGTTTAGAAATATTTTTCTGATGTCATCAAATTCCACTTTTGGTGATGCCAAGAATCATAGAACATAAAACAGCACACAGCTAAGGTGTCATTCGATGCAGCTTTTTCTCCTCTTTCTATTGAGTATTTTTCTTCCCAATTTGTGGGAGTTTTTGACGATAAAATTTCCATAATTCTTGATTTTGAACTCGCCTAAGGGTGTACATGCGAAAAGCGAAATCTCATATTTCGAGGCGGTAAACACTGAGTTACTTTGTAAAAATAGTGGACAATCATAAACGACTTTTGAAAGTATCGAAATCCGAAGATTTGTTAATGTTCGGAGCATTTTTTTTTTTTTGTGATTTCGAAAAAATGAAGACTTCTGGAAAAATTATCTCAAAAAATACTAAGAAGCCAGTCAAAGTTGCCAAAAAATTCCATTAAACTGCACTTTGTTTACTCTATCTGAGTGCTATTGAAGCTTTTCCAAAAGTCAAAAAAGAAGGATGTGAAAAATTGCCAAAGTTGGACACCATGAAAACCATGTGTTTGAAATTTCAGACATTATCTCACTGATCACAAGAGCAAACGGCACATGAATATGACAGTTGAAAAGAGGAAGAAAAGCTGCGTCGGATAATGCCTGAAGCGTTTCCCTATCGTCATTCCTCCGTGTTTTATGATAGCTTGAAAAAACGGAAATAACTTTCGGAACGACCTAATATTTCCGTCACTTCACATAAGTTTCGGATTTCCTTAGCATGGACAGACGTCCCGGTCAAGAATCTATCCCCGAGCATAGGTACAGTTTCATATCGCCCCCTGTTCGCCGTTTTTTACCCTCTTTTTTCGAAAATCGCCTTGTTAGATATCGCGCCCGGCGTCAACTTTTCTGCGTCCTCTCCCTTTGAATTTTCAACAGTTCCATTTGTTTTTTCAATATTTTGATGATTTCCTTCATTCTTTTTTCTTCTTCTTCTTCTTCTTTCTTCTGCTCATAATCTATCTTGATCTGTTCTGTGACTATGTAAGGCTTTATGAAAAAAAATTCTGTGGTTTTGTGATTTTTCTTGGAGAGTTTGACCTAAAATCACGAAATTTTCAACTCGCAGCAAGTAAATGGTTGTCAAGGACTAAGGGCCGCATGCACTAACATCCCCGCGGGGAGGGGATCGCAGCTTAAAAGAAAGCTTTATATTTCGAAACTCCAGATACCTGGATTTCACGTTGTGTACCTGTCCGTAAGTATTCCTACTATAGTAGGAATACTTACGGAATCCCTACCAGCACGCGAACGCCGCTGGTAGGGCAGTCGCACGCCGCTGGTACGCTGTGGAACTGCGCTGGCAGGAGAATGGTACGCCGCTGGTACGCCAAGAGGGTACGCCTTCGGACCGCATGTTCACCCGATTTTTGATTACGTACTAATTGCAGCATTAGTTGGTTTGAAAATTGCTATATCGTCATATTTTATGAAGCCGAAATCACCGCAAAATTTCCTGCTATTTCGACCGATGGACTTCATTGAATCGAAATCGGGGGATTGTGGGCCACCCCTACAACACCCAGCTGAGGTGTTATCAGGTCACTCGATAAGAACAACAACTCAATCCTATTCCTTTACCAAGTGCCGAGAAGTGTTAGCTAACCACTAAAATGCTGAGGCGGCCCAACCACTGCGTCGTATCCCATACGGGTACGGCCTACGCTTACAGCGTGGGGTAATGTGATGGGACGCCGCTCGCTTGCTTGGGTTGATGGAACGCCGCTCGCCAAATGACGGTACGCCGCTGGTAGGGCGCATTAAGGAACGCCGTTGGTACGTTAATCGCACTCCGCTGACACGCAAAGCCATTTAGGTACGCCGCTGGTACGCAACGAAAGTCTGAGTACCCTTCACTATGAACATGTTGAACAGGAGCGAGAAGCTGTACAAACCGCATTTTCCAGCTTTTGTATGATCCCTGATGATCCCTGGCGCTTTTCTTTTAAGTCATTTTTCTTTCTCCGAAGTTAACGAAGAATCTCCAGAGTTGTGCAGATTGTCTAACCCGACAGTGCTAAGCATGTTGCTGATAAGAACAAATGATGTTTTGAAGTCATGAAATTTGCGATGATCCACAGGTCGAAATTTAATGCTTACCGAAAAATTCGACTTTTCAAAAACTCATTTGTTCTCATCAGCAACATGCTTAGCAGTATTGTGTTAGATGTTCAGTACAACTTTGGAAGGTTTTCATTAACTTCGGAGAAAGAAAAATGACTTTAAAGAAGAGCGCCAGGGATCATCAGGGATCATACAAAAGCTGTAAAATGCGGTTCGTACAGCTTCTCGCTCCTGTTCAATATGTTCATAGTGAAGTGAAGTAGGAATACTTACGGACAGGTAGACAGCGTGAAATCCAGATATCCGGAGCTTCAGGATATGAAGCTTTCTTCTGAAGCTGCGATCCCCTCCCCGCGGGGATATCAGTGCATGCGGCCCTAAGTGAGTATGCGGGGATCCACCAACAGTCGGAGGGTGGGGAGGGGTGTAGAGCAAGGGTCAAAGGGGACTTTGTTAAGTTTTCGAAAGTCAGGGGGGACTGTTTTTGAAAAGCCTAGAAAGGACTCGTGCAGGGCCCTGGCTTGGCTTTTCGCTAAAATTAACATGTTGACTACCGCTTAACACACATGGTGTGTCGAGGCTTGATTTTCGCTGAAAGGCTGCTGTATTGAATCAAGCCCACTTCAAAGATTTTCTTTTGTACTGGATCTATCAACCTCCATTGTTTTTGTCAGCCTCATGGCACTAAAGTAGGTATAGTGTAGATGGGATTATGCGTGATTTCGTTCAAAAAAATTGACTGATCCGTGAAAGCCCTTGGTCGTCAGTGTATTGAAGTTATAGTCTCGAAAGCTAGAGATTTTCAAAAAAATTATTCTTTTGGCTAAGAGAATCTTTTCTATAATAGTTGCAGATATACAAAAGCATCTGTTGTATAGCCAGTGGTTTTCTCTTCACAACGGTTTTTACTGCATTCGGAAGGGATATTCCGAGAAGCTGGAATTACCCTTTATTCTTGCTCGGAACCTCAAGATTAACAGCTAAATCGAGCAGCTGTATATAACGAATAATCTAAGGCCTTTCTTGCCATTCTGTGAGCTATAGTGACTTCTAAATAAGCCTTTCGGGTATATATGTCGCCGGAAAGGGTGGTCCCAGTGGACATCTGCAAAAGACATGCAACACGCATATTACAGGCAGATTTGTGGCGGCTGTTCGACGTATAGGCCCCTACCCTTTGTCTGCATCCTTGAGGCAGCTTGCTGTCTTCATATATAAGCAACCAAAAGCTGGCCTACGCTATGCTCTTTTTGGAACATTAGCGTGTTGGTGTCAACCTGGAAGTCTCTGACCACCATAGTAAGAAATGGGCAAGGTGGCATGCGCATTTGGTAGCCCAGAGTATTTGATATAAAATCAGAGGATTGGAGAAAGATTTTGACTAACATTTTAGAGCTCTTGGCCTTTGCTCATTACTCGAATGCCCACAGAATTGACGATTCTGTAGATTAACTCACAAACTCTCTCTCGGTCTTCTCGATCTTATTTCAGTGTTGGCTACTCACATAGCGCATGCCATCATTGTAATCGAAAATAATGTGTTATTTAAGCAAAACCATAAATTCTGATAGGTATGACTCAGTTAATAAGGTGGTTCAAAAAAAGGATCGTTACGTTTCTCCGGATTCTGCAAACTACGGTCATCTTCATGGGTAAGAACATTCTGACTAGATGTTAGAGGATCAGCTATGTTTGTTATTCTTAATGTAAGGTACTTATGTTGAATCTACTCCAGATTCCTTTTGAATATACTAAGCGAAAATCTACGACAGTAAGCGCGCGATATCTCATCGTCCGTCATTGTATAAGTGATTTTTGCTCTCGCGCTTTTTTCAAGTCAGCGATAGAAGTTCTTAATTGACTCTGCAAGCGGCGATGAGACACTACCGACCGATGGACTAACCCCGTAATGTCATTTAATAGGTCACTGGAACTGTTTCAAGATAACACTCGAGGTCATGCCCTAATGAACGACATCTTTTCTTAGCCAAACTTGGCATCACCAAATGCTAGAAATTTGCTTTAAAATGTATTTTAGAAATAAGTAGAAGCAAAAATTGAATAGGCGTTACATAAAAAAAGTGATAAGTTTGTGCAGTGAAGTTGCCGAAATGTTAAATGTTGAAGTCCACCGAACTAAAGGATTGGTGGTAAAGTAGTGCGATACGTAGAGTATATCATTATGTATGAAATAAAAGAATTATGATGCGTTATCTGCTGTCTTCAAAGATGCTATTTTAATCAGTTCAATGAGGAAATCTGATTTTCAAAAGTTATTATTGAGTTGGCTAAAATAATTACACTTTTACCTGCAACTTACTATCACCTATCAACAATTCAGAATTTTCCCTATCATCAGGCAGTTATGCCCCCGTATAGCTAAATTTTTAAAGCTCTTTGCTTCAATTTTGCAAGGTTGGTTTTCGTGCTTCAGTAAATTTAGAGACGAACAATTTATTACTTTGTTACATCCAAGTTTTTCTCTCTAGCGAGAACAAAAAATTGTGATCTGTCACTTTGATATTATATTTTTTATATTATATTCTTTGATATATATATTTTTTCATCAAGAAAACGAAAATTTTCCACATCTACGCACATTCAGAAAATTGGTGTATTACATTGGTCTGAGCCTTTTCTTCATAAGAAATTAGATTCTAATCAAACAGAATTTACACTCCAACTTTCATTGAAGTGCTTTTTCCAAAGAAACCAAACAATCAACAAAAAAAATATGTCTGCAGCATTTGTAGGAGACGCAAAAGCGACTGAAATTATTTATTGACCAACCAACCGTTTGAGATTTTAGGCTTAAAATAAGTTGTAGTTCTTAACGACGGAGACACTGTTGAGAAGCCTCAACCTAAAAAACGATTTTTTTGCATCCGAAACAGGAATTGTTAACCTCAGCTACAGCAAAGAAACTTTGTGCAAGTCCTTCTCATATCGCTTTGATAAGATCTTTCTAAATCTGTTTCAAGTGGTATTACTGCACGAAAGCTGCTTCTAATCTTGAAGTAAAGGCATGACAACTTATCGGCTGAGCTGAAAAGCTGCATGGGTGTATTGTACGGAAAGACGTAAGTGTTAATCGATGCTAAATCAAGCGACTACAACTTGAGCTGGATTACCAAGATTATTTTTATTATGAAAACTTGAATTAGAATTGAGGAAAGTGATGTGTGTTATGCAATAGACCTCTAATTATCCAAGAAAGATTTTTAGCTTCAGCTAGAGCTGACCACTGGCGCCACAATCCTCATCAATTCCCATTTATGATGTCGTCTTTCGCAACGATAAAACTTTTCGACCATTGCTGAAGTAGGACCCCCGCTCAGTTGCCCTCACATTCGTTTTTACCCTAAAATTTCTGTTCAACTCCTTGAGTTGTTCAAAGCAATAGCGGAGTCTCAAAGCTACAAATCATTAGCTTCTGCCGAATCTGCATCCGATTTGTTTATGAACATTGGAAAAACCTAAACATGCTGCATTCCACTTCATACAATCCCGATTCTATGAATTAATCGATAAAATGACTTTTCCCGAAGCAAACAACGGCGCCAATACGGTCATTTGGCGCTGTTGCGCGAGAAAGCTCCGGATTGGATATCGCCTAGAAGAAGAGGCACGAAATCGCCGATGTGCATACCCTCTGCGCGAGCGCACTCATCCGGCCCCAGCTACCGTAACCCTCTCGAGATTCGCGCTTTCATAGAGGAAGATTCCACAACAGTCAAAAGTTGAACAAACAGAAAAATAGACCAACCTTGTTGCACAATCGACAGCGAACATTCTGGTCGTCAAGTCGAATGAAGTAACCCCAGCAAGGGTTTTCCGTGGGTCGACCACGTTTTGCAGGAGCCGCTCCATCTCTTGTATCACATCGGTCTTCTTGTGGCTCGAATTTCACATCTTCTTCCTTCATTGTTCTTACTGGCTCCTAAAAATATTATTCAAGATTGTTTTAACTTTCTTTATTCTGGTAAGTCTAGACTATCAGCATGCAAGACGGACATTTCTTCAAATTTTGGACACTCTTCAAAGGTAGGAAGTTGGCAAATACAATCTTGAGATCGTTCGTGAGAAGTTTCGGCTCAGACAAAAGAGACGTCCAATCATTTTGTACTACGGAAACAAGGAGAAAAAATGAAAGAAGGATCATGTGGAAGGACACTAGTTCAAGAATGCCGTAAAAGGTGGGAAATTTTTGTGAGGCAAACTCGATATTTCTAAAAAGATTTAATGCAAAACTTGATATAGGCAGAAGGGGAAGAAATATCGAAGAAGTAAATCTGAAGAAAATGACGCGCATGCAAAGATTTACGCAAATCTCGTGGTAACCATTGCTTGAAAACTTACCTTATGGTACAAACGTTGTTCCTCGTAAGGCTTTGTCCTTACTTCGTTGTAATCGTACTTAAGAGGCTCATACTTCTGCGTAGAAGAAATGTCTGGGTAATTAATGGAGGAAATCTGAAGAATTCGAGTAAAAGAATTTTTTGAGGACAATTGACCGATTACCTCAGTGTCATAGTTTCCATGATCAATAGGTCTAATATCATGATAGCCAGGAAACCATGAGTTAGCAATATCAATATTTCCAAGGGCCAAGCCAGTGGGCAAACCAACAGTCGAGCCGAGAGCTGTCGACGTGATTGGACCCATCTGCAGCGCACCGGAACCGATGCCACTCATCGTCAACGCTCCAGACGACATGCCGTAGGGATGAATGGCGACGGGACATGCCGGGCCGTCTGCTTCGCTAGAGTTCATCACCGTGGTGTGCCGAGACGAGAAAGTCGCGCACCGCCCCTAATAGTCTCAACATCGCACCGTCGCCGTCGCCGTCGCCGCCGCCACCGTCGTCGTCGGCGCTGGTGACGCCGATGCCGACGTTACCGACATCGTGGCGACTCACTTCTGATTGCGATATCATGGCTGAAAACTTGTCGATACAACAAAAATTGGTGTGGGTGTTCTAGTTGGACTGAAATAAATACGCGGAAAGAAAGAAAAATTAGCGGAGAACTGGATTTCACTTTTTAGGTCTCGCTCAGTTACATCATAGTTTTGGAAATGTTCTTTGCATGCTAGGGCGCAGATAGCTGAGATAGGTTTGGTAGGTGTTTCAATATCATTTTGAAAATCAGGATAGCAAAAAAAAACGTGAAAACAACCAAGAAATGCAGGAAGGCAAAAAGTGGGAAAGAATAGGAACAGTAGTTGTGCTATGTATGGTAATTCAGATGTGCTCATATGAAAATACCTCTGTGACAGTATGCCTTGCCTATTAATCTGAACCAAGCTCAAATTCTAATAAGTAAACTGCGGTAGAATTCCATGCCTATTTAGAAACACCTTAAAAAGAGATATATCAAGGTATCGAACATCAAATTGTTTCAATTTTGAAAACCGAATCTGAAAGAATTGTAGATATTTACAGAAGAAAACTCGCACTCGTCCAACCCATTGAGTGCAGAATTCTGTCGCTTTAACGACTCCGAACAAGACCGAACTTAGTTATAAGTATTTTTTCGCAGGTTTTGTTCTGATCGTAAATCCTCAGGGACTTTTAACTGTGGTTAAGGCTGAATGCGATGTCTGTAGTTTACCTCTTACTTGATGAAGCTTACTAAGCTAAAGCTGGCCCCAAGATGAAGAAAAGCATCAAATATCGGGATGGTTACGCATTGCGAGATATGCAGATTATAGCAGCAATTATGTGTTTCTTACTTACCACTGATTTGATGTCTTCTATGCTGAGGAGTGGGAAAATCCCTAGCTTATCTTCACTAAGTTTATTATTCATTAGTATTTCATAGAATGTTTCGCAGTCATCACTGATTTGATGCATTCTATATCCAGAATTGGGAAAACTATATAGTATCGTCACAGTGCTGGAAGAATTCTTGGCTTATTTTCACTAAGTTTATTATTGTTTAGTGTTTCCTCAAATGTTTTGTGGTCACCACTGATTTGATGCATTTGATATTAGGTTTGGAAAAAATCCGTGCTTATCTTCACTAAGTAATTTCGTTATTAGTATTCCATCGTAAGTTTCATGGTTACCACTGATTGGATGCGATGCTGAGAATTGGAGAACCGGGCTTATCCTCACTATGCTGGAAGAAATGCAGGCTTATCTTCATGTTTTTTCATTCATAACAGTTGCTATGGTTCCAGTTGTAGATATAGAGTGATTATAATCAAGAAAGAGCCATGTATATATGATTTTGGGTGGGTGAAGAAATAACAGATCGGAGAGAAAAAATGGGGAGGAATGGAAACCACTGAAGTAAGGCAAGTTCGTGATAGAGATGTTATGAAAGTTTTATCTATTATCTTATTTTTGCACTTACTAACTAGCTCATCGCCTGAGGCGCTGGACATATTTTACGCGATTTGATAATACATCTGCTGTGTATAACTCATCCTACGACTTCTGAATGTACAGTAGAAAGGGCATTTTATCAATCTGTAAAATTTATACCCATTATGCATAGCATGTAGTCTGCCAAAGTTGCATTGAAGACAGCTAGCTAATTGCTAGATGATGTCGCGATCAAATCGCGTGAAGTATGAACAAGGCGCGCCGGAATTCAGCCGACTACCATAAGTTGGATGTTCAGCTAATCTTGTAAACAGTGCTGCTGTTCCAACATGTATCGCCCCAGTTATAAAGTTCCCTCATAAAATTGCTTCAGCTGCTACATCCAAGCCTTCTTCCACCAAAGGAAACTCGCTGACCCATCTGCTTCTCGTCGAGATACCATCATTCGACGTCTTTGATACCGCCGCAAAGTCGCGTTTTTTCGCACGCCAGTAAAAGGGCGACAAAGTGCGCGAAGAACCGAAGTGGGTCAACTCGTTCGTCGGTGCTGGTCGGGTACGTACGGAAAAATGCGACCGAAATCTATGTGTGTGCGTGTATGAGAAGCGAAGAGAGAATGAGCGTTATCGCTTGTCTTGAAACAATGAAGACCGGTCGAAACAACGCAGCGCTGAGCTCTCGTGCTTTTGCGAGAAAAATCCCTGCGCAACATCGTTCACCGTAGCTTACTGTAGTCCGTAGCCTACGCAACGTTCGGGAATGATTAGGTAGAACCTAGGGTATTTTTCTGGAGTGGGGCGGGGGCGGGATGAGGGAGGGGGGTGGGAGAAAGGTGGTTGATATTTATATGGAAAATTAATTGAAATGGCCGTTAGCGTCATTTATGGAGTATCAGGAATTCAAGGAAAAAACAAAAGCACCATCAATCATATCATCATAAACTTTCAAAGGTGAGAACCAAGACCCATACCAATCATTTTCCATTTTTCAGGAATATACTGACTTTCAGAGCATTTGGGTTAGCAAAGAGCTTGTGATTCTTTTCAGAAAGACTATACTATCCAAGTACTATCAAGTACTTCTTAACCGCAAGTTGCCATAAGTTATGCCTAGAAGGTGACACCTGACTCCATGAAGATTTGAAAAAAATGTGATCCAATAGATCGACAAAAAGTATGTTCCATATTTCCTCATAAATACAGTCGATAGAAGAATTCTGACCAATAAAAATTAAGTACAGTGAAAATAAAAACAGCCTGCATAGGCATAGCACTATGCTCCTTTGAGAGCATATGGCCAAATTTTACAGAAAAGTTTTCGCGGATCATATAAGGAAAGCTAAAAGTAACAAAAATCAAAACCTACAAGTAAATTTCATAAGTCACAGCAATCAGTCGCTCAATTTTATCTGGTTAGTCTACAAATTGATGAGCTGAAAGGAGATAACTCACCGGCTCAAGCCCAAATTCATGAACCAAAAAATTCAAATTTTCCAGATAAAAGGAAAAGCGAAGAGCCGAGAAGAACACTAACATCGAAGTGGAAGGCCTTTAGGAACCGAAACATTGGATATTGAAAATCGTACTCAAAACTGGACCGCCGAGAGACGAATTTCTGTTTTGATTCGAGTTTGGCAGCGAAACGTTCGCAAAAAACGTCAGAGCGACGATCCTAATTCACTCGAGCACGTTTATATGGCCATTGGTGTTCGTGTGTTAAGATCAGCCACTGTGAGCTGATTATTGATCAGCGTTGTGATCGATAAAACAATAACATTGATTGAATTGTAGAGCAAATGATTTGAACGCCGATGCAGCTTTTACGAAATTGCTCGAAAGATGGGGCGTTGAGGTTAGGGTAGGGCAAGAATTTTTTTCAGAGAACGTAGGTTAGTGCAAAACCAAAAACAGCGCAATGAATGTTTAGCAGAACGGTAATTTTAATTCTTTCTCAATAAATAGGGCATAAGTCATGGTTTAGTTTGATTATCACGGCATGTGAAGCACAATTACATCTCTGTATCTTTTACACAAATGTTGAAGCTCTTATCAACAGAAATCACAGAAAACTTGCCAAAAACCATTATTCCTTTAATTGATGAGGATTATAGAAATGCAGCTAAAGAAATCTGTAAACTAGTGCCAATGAGCATGATTCTCTAAAAAATCAACATTTATTACGGTATTCACTCGAAAACCCACTAGCTAGACAAGATTTTATCAATCACATGAGTTTGGTAATTCCGGACATTTTTTATGCAGAGTTGGAAGAGATCCGTCCTCTACAAGAAAAATGTTGATTTAAGCAAGTTTTCTCGCAAAGCATCGAAACTCTATCGAATTTTTTACAAAAAAAAGCCCGGCGAGCTTCTATTTCCGTCTGCGAGTGAATTTCTGGGATAATGAAGTAAAGTCTGGAGGGACAGGAATAATGGTATGATTACTTTTCCTATCCGAAGAATTTCTACTTTCTTGATTCCATCTATTGCAAAAAATAAAGTTAACATTGAAAGAATTGCAGACAGCGCGGAAATGAGCTGATCCTCCAATTTGCCCTCTAAAATGTTGGGTTGCTCCAAAACTTCTATCTGTTCCTACACCTCCTTTTGGACTGCAGTTTTTGAGGAGGAATAGCACGCGTTTAGCTTGTAGCATCTGAAGCTCTTTTCTCTAGTTCCCTATCTAGGCTCTCGTTTTCCTGCGATTTTGTTCAATCTGCGATCCTTACCTCATAATTACAACAAAACAAATGTGGAATACCTTCTCCCTACTCTATTTCCATGAAATCCAAGGCGAAAACCGAATTCTATATAAAGTGTATTGTCTGCTGGAAACTTGTGCCACATAATTTATCAAAGAGTCTCAAAGATGAAAATTTTTGATTCAAGGATGATTATTTTTGTAGTGTTTATGTGTGACGTGAAAATCCTGAGCGCAACATGATTTCTAAGTATCGCTCATACACAAGACTAGGCCCAATACATTCCAAAATTGAGGAAAAAATTCTCCTGAATTCCGCAAAAAAATACTCAACAAATGCATTTTCTTGCCGCGAGGAGTTGGAGATTCTCGCAGATGTCTGTGAAGAAATGTAAAACCATTGGCTACGAGCAGAATTTGTGATACTACTAAATATCAGACGATCTATGGTTTTCAAAGTATGTATTCATTTGAAAAATGTTTCCTAATTTGTAGGATACATACTTTCTTACAGTTGGTACAGTATTCTTGAGTACGTTTTGAATAGCCAAGAAGATGTAGAGTAGTGTATTTCATTGCACTCGCAATAATCACTTCAGAAAAGAATTATAGCGAAACGATGCTAAACTTGGAGTACTGGAGAAACTTTCAAACAACAGTATTTCAAGAACTTAGCTAACTAAGAAATTTGTAGTTTCTTGAATCCATATGAAGTTAATGCATAGTGCATGACCTCCTCGATAATATTCTGCATTCTTTTTGGATAAGTGATTCGCAGTCGCAGTCCTAGACATTCCATCTAAAAAGGAAAGGATACTCGGTCACCGTGGCTATTTGGAATGTGATGTATACTGTAAGATGCAACTCGAAACGCTGATTCCAAATCGTGCTCGATATCTACGAAACGATCTTCTGAAGGAAGTTATGAACTTTTTTCGTAGAAAATTTGCGTACTTTTGTGCAGTTAAAATCACCAAATTTGTTCTAGATTACCATTTGAAGCTACTGAAGAGAATCTCAAAAGGAATGCTGTTGTATTATACCTATCTAAATCATATTCAGCATTTAAAAAGGAAAGAAAATTCTTTATCGATGATTTTGACCATCCGCAGTTTATTCATGAAAAAATAATCATAACTCCATCCAGATTATCGCTTGCAGATATGGAAGACAGTATTCGAACCAGCATCAAAAGGCACATTTTTTGATATACAAATCATTATGAATGGCCGCGGTGACCAAGTATCCTTCCCTTGTACGGCAGGGGGGGGGGGGGGAGAGGAAATGAATCTTTGGGGCTCTTATCTTGCTCTAATCTTTGGGGTTTGTTTGCCCTCAGGCCAAACTAAAATAATGCAAACTTTGTTATTCCACAAACAAGTAAGCCGATGCAACGGGCAGAACTTCTAACTTTGTCTTTAAGATAGTTTTTATACAAGTATAATCATATTTTTTACGTTAAGTAAGTGCAGTGAATCCTCTTGATTTTTTGATCTTATGTGCGCCGCATCAGCTTCTACATGGAATGAAAATACTTTTTTTTTTCGGTGCAGTCAGATACTGATCATCTGCGTGGCATTTTGTGAACACTGTTGCCCTTTTTGAGCGAAAGGGTGTCTTCAAAGAAACATCAGCGCTGAACCTTCTTCCGAAATTGACTCAGTGCTTCTTTGCAAACCCTAATTGACATTATTTCTTCACTATTGATCGTCATTTATTCACCGGGAACGAGCCCACTGTCAGCTAGCCAAAACTTATTTTAGAATTCTAGATAAATTAGTTCCAACAACGTGCATAATTCATCTTTTGATTACTGACCCACAGACGGCTGCCTAACAAATAGATGACTGCGGAAGTTGCTGCTGCATTAGAGACTTCTAGAAACAGGAATGGTCATATTCCAAAGTAAAGTGAACACTTTTGCAACGTATGAACTAAACTTCTCAAAATTCCTCTATCTCTCCCACAATGGAAAATGGCAATGGTCAAAAATAGAGTGTACCCTCTGTATTAGGAGTGATGAGGGCTCCTACGGCACATGAATGTGGGGAAGGCGAAGCTTCAGTCGCTAATGAAGCCTGGGAAAATGACTGAAGGACACGCTCCCGAAGAGGTGCAGAGCCGAAGCGAAGCGGTCGCGCGGGATCCGAGCCGCACGAGCCCCCAATACTCATAACGATACAGAGGCTATGTTTTCGAGCCTCTCTCCGTCGATCTGATTCTCTGTAGATATCCCTGCATTACTGATTAGTTATGCAAACCGTTTGTTCTTGAATAAATCTAGAGAGAGTTTCTTTATACTTCAAAATCAAGAAGATAACATATAGTACAGTCGCTTAATTTCATATGATCATGTGTGTTATTGCACACACAATTCACCTTTGGCGTCCCCATCCTGGATTCGTGGGAGAAACAAGCCTTCGGTAAGTGTTCCCAAGGTGTTCTTAGCCTTTTTTTCCTTTTTAGTCACTAGTCACCTCAAACTTGGATAATCGATAACAATCGGTAAGTCTCTTGCGTTTTTGCGATTGCAAATCCAGGATGAGGACGCCAAAGTGGACTGCGTGTGCAATGGCACACATGATCATATGAAATGAAGCGACTGTACACCCAAAAACAAATGCAAAAACAATAGCAAGAGATCACCAAATGCACACGGAAAAATTGCACACTGTGCATACCCAAACTAACTCAACCATATGAAATGCCCATCTCGGAATGGGAGGACTAATACAAACGAAAAGTGAGCTATAGCGATAGCATGGCAATAGCGATAGCATTATTTGAGATGAGTGGTCTTCAATGACGACGGAAAAGGAAGAAAAAGTTCTGCGTTCAGCGTTTACCTCTGAAAAAAATGATCATAAGCTGTCTAAAAAATGTTGAAAAACTACTTGGAGACCATGGCTCTTCGTAAAGTGATGTGCATACGCAATTATTCGTAAACAAACCCAGTGGGATAAACGAGATCATAGATCATAGTAGAAAACAGAACGGATGGCTGGTTTAGAAAATGTGTGAATAGTGTATAATAACCGGGGTTCAAAATAAAATGAAAAATAATTACAGAAATGAATATGCATTTAAGATGAGCTCACCTCTCCGCTGCTTCTCGTAACGTTCTCTTCCAAGTTGCTCTCAAAAAACTTTGAATACAGTGGCGGATAGACTATCCGCACCTCTTGTAGAAGCCGTACATCGTGTTCGCCGCACTCTTTGAAACCCTAGAATGGTATTATGAGTTTAGAGAGCAGCACTAACGCAAACATTGTGCAAGTATGGAGGATTAGCAGAAATAATTTGGCTAGGGCCGGTGAAAGCGCGTAAGGGATCGTTCAGACCGCGCACAAAGGCGCACAAAGGCGCACGAAGGCGCATGTGAGTGTGAGTGTGTCGGGAGAAACGAGACGAGACGAGACGCGCCTTCGTGCGCCTTTGTGCGCGGTCTGAACGATCCCTAAGACGTAGGCTATGTAGCATCTAAAAACGAGCTTGTCTTGGACAACGAGCATTGAAAGCGTTCAGGATCAGCCCTATAAAGAAGCAACGAGGTTTGAATAATGCAAAACGAATCCAAATGCGGCACAAAGGCGCGAGAGCCATACTAATAAGGGAAGCGTGTTTAGTCGAAGTGGCCTTTTCAGATGGAGCCATACTGCTTTGAAGGGTATTGCACAGCGATTCCGAATCTGCCTTCATTATCTGCCGGGCGCTGAACGCCGAGTTACGGGCAATTTTTGGATCAAAATTGAACGAGCTGGAACAAAATCGCCCAAATATGCTCAAATGATGCGTCGAGTATCAAAGCAGTTCATGTAATGGATACATTTTGTCCAATACGCTACTTAACATTGCTCTATCTGAGGCTAGAAAGATTGTAACAATTGATTTTACTTTTGCATTCATTCTTCGTTACAGAAAACGGTCATAACTCGGCGTCCAGAGGCGCCTGGCAGATAATGAAGGCAGATTTAGAGCCATCATGCAATGCTTTTCAAGGTGGTATGAGTCTAATTTGAAAAGCCACTTCGACTGAAAAAGCTTCCCTTCTAAGCTGTAGAACACATATGAACAACTCTGGGACACAGATCATACAAGATAATAGCGCTCGTCATCGCAGATACAAGGACCCCAATAATACTACTTCGATAAAATGGATCAATGCAGACAAGCGGATAAAAGAAGTATAAAATAACGGTAAAATCAACAGTAAGATGCATGAAACCCACCTCGAGAAGTTCCTGATCAGACACCAGCTTTGAAGTACTGGCAGGATAATCGAACTCTTTCAAAAGCTTCAAGTCGGATGTGCGCTTGCGGTCTAGCAATGCCATCAGTGATAACATTTTCTGGAATTTATGATAGGCTTCAGTGGACATATACTGCAAGCTCTCTATTTTAGAGGAACGTGATGATCTGAGATTGTTGGAAGGAATATGCCGAACTAATGCAAAAATTGGCTAGTATTATGATGTGAATTTACTTACTTGGCGACTTTTTTCAAGTAGTACGTACAAGAAGTGACCTAGGATAAGCTTAAAGCACAAAACAAGATTCTGAATGTCAAACCTCAATTAAATCGGCAGCAGATAAAACTAGTCGCAAAATCAAGTGTGATTCCGCATTGCACCGCATTATATTTTACGCCTAAAATTCAAAAGTCGTCGAGGCTTTGGGCAGTCGGGACGGGGGGCACGAGGAAGGCGACAATCGGCGCAAAATGGAGGCAGTGATCATCCGTCTCAATAATTTTCACGGATTTCTACTTGTACCATCGAGTAATGTATCTGCCCCTACTTCCCACCTCCATAGTCCCCGCCGTGTCACTTTGACACCAGAGAGTTTCTGATAGGCAAAAAATTGGGGTTTTGTCTTCCCACAGCACACCCGAATTGACGCCTAATGTGAAAAAAATTAAAATTTCATGTTTTCGAGCAAACCTCCGCATGGCGACCGTATTTCAGGTGAGTTCACTTGTTTTTTTAGTCCTTCTTTCACATATAGTGCTTTTAAAAGCTGTTCCTTGCTTATCATTGTTCATTTCCTTTTTATATCTCCAGCTATTCTTTCCTTCCATGATGTGGGTACCCTCCATCGGGGAACGGTCAAGAGTCACGGTCGGCGCGAATTTTTCGCGAAGCGATGCCGCAAGCGATGTCAGCAAAACAGAAGCCAGCACTCCTGGCGCAGTCTTACTTATGACACGAGCCATGTATCTGCCCCCACCCTCCACCCCCCTAGACTGGCGCCGTGCCACTTTAGCACCGGGCAGTTTGTGGGGTACAAAATTTAGACGCGACGTTCGCGGCGAAGCGGCGCGGCGCGCGGCGTGACTCCTGACATGGAGCCCCCTCCATCAACGTCCGTTTTCACATTGGTTATGATTTGTGAACCGTATGATGTTTCGGAGGAAAAGCACACGAATTGTTTATGAATGAAGTCTCAAACTCGTCTCATTTCTTCATTTCTCAGTTGAATTTAGCATTTTTCCTCCGGCTATCAATAACCTTCTTACGCTCGCAATACCCCTCTAGCACCGTAGAGACCATAACACTCGAAAGTTCTATACCATCGGGTACCATTCGAGATTAATTGCCTGCAATGGACTGCCAACATAGTAATCCGCACCCGTGTAAGGATGTGTGACCGAGGTAAGCGGCTGCTTTCCACCTATATCCCAAGGCATGACATCGGATTATGAGTTCAACCTTTGGTGACCATGGGTAGGCGTAACATATGTCATTATAACATAGATCTTAGCATCAGCTAGGCGTGTTATATTTACCTCTTGTCAACGCGAATTTATCATCTAGTTGGCGACATATTCAACGAGAAATGGAGTCAACTGCAGCCACAAGGTTTTATTAAACTTCAGCTTCATTGTTTATGCGATATAACCTCTCTAGTACCACATGACCAACTTGCCATTTCGATTTAAAACGTATCTTTACAAGCATTTACGCCTTGTTCATCGGAGGAGTAAAGAGGAAGTCGACAGAATCAAAGCTGAGTGAAGACGTCAGAAAGTTATTGCAACTGGCGAGGCCGTAATTGCTTGTGAGATCTGCGGAGCTATATTCACTAATGCGATGGCTCTGAAAAACCATCAAAGAAGCAAACATCCAATTGATCCAGCTCATACTATTGTTTGCTCAATCCGCGAAGAAGAACTGAAGGTTTGCTTTGCTGGCAATCTTGTCGTTAGGTAAACTGGACCAGCCTGACCACTTAAAATTTTGGCCAAAGGACCCTATACCGTGTTGCTCCTCAAAAAACTTATATGGGAGAGCGACCATCTTGCTTGCTACAGTGGCGCGACCGGGCTACTTGTAGGCTATTATCTCAGCTCTCACTGGAAGTGTCGCATTGGAAACATACCAGTTTGTGGAAGAAATTCCACATCAGTACTGCTTAAAGTACATGTGAATCTCAACTTTGTGGGAACTGTAAGTTCAACTGATAGAACTGTTGCACCGACCTATATTAGGCTGCTGCATAAGTTCTGTCCGATTTTTTTGCGTTGTGTTTGATGCAGCCGTTCTACGGGATTTTTAGTCGTAAGGCGGTATTGTTTGTACCATTGCAAAGCATTTCTCTTGCTTTTTTCAAACACATCATATTTCAGGAAATTTCCAGTCTGGCGAGAGTGCAGGCCTCTAATCCCCAGATAGTCGAGACACGTTAGCTAAGAAGAAGTTCTTGCTAGAAAATTCTCCATAATATGCTCTCCAAGTCAAGCCCTTGTGTTGGTCACGGAATGAGAGTGAAACATTCCAGTATAAGCACAACCTCACTTTCATGCGAAAAAACATTTTGCTTGTGAAATTTATTTTGAAGTATAATTATCTGTACAGAAGTTCTACAAGCAACTAGCTTGCTTACCCGGCTCCGCTTGGACCTGTCAAAACACTGTAATAAAGGTCCCATCCCTATCTCTGTACAGCCTTTCCCTGTGCCCACTTCTACACTTCATTTCCCGTTCCCTGTGTGGTTTTCGAAATCAGCATGCCCACTTACCCCCCTGTGCCAACTCCCAGCCCCGTAGGTGAACTCTGCAAAAGAAATCGATAAAAATCGATAAAATCTAGATCGATCGATGACGAAAAGTAGCCTATGACACGCTCCCTGCCCCGAAATGTATGTGTGCCAAGTTTGGTCCAAATCGGTTCAAAAATAAAATTTTCTATTCCGCACATACGTACATACAGACAGACATACATACAGACAGACAAACAGACATTCAGCTTTGTATATAAGAAGCCCCGGATATTATGACATAACTAATGACTAACTATGTAAGGATGAATGTGAATGAGGCAAATATAGTAGTGACATCCAAAGAAAAGCTCAAAAAACCGAAAGATTGCGTTTTCATGGCCTTTTTTGCTGAAAAGAGGGTTTTTCTTCAAAAATTCAGTTAGAAATTAGGATAAAACTTATCAGTTAACCTTTCTATAGACTGCGATTGAGCGTTGGAGGTTCATGAAAGCCGCTGGAGTTCAACAAAAACGAGAAACTGCGCCGAAATCTTGCGCAGAGAGTCGCCACATAAATGCTGGTCTACCTCGTTATGGAGTGAGATTCAAGACCCACGACGTTGTCAGTGCTCCTGGCCGTGTCATGAGGATCACAACGATATATTAGGTTGGCACGAAAGTTCTTGCGTAATTCAAACAAAATTCAATAACTTTTCAAAGACTAAACCAAAATTCACAGTCTTGTATGCTAAAAATATTAGAAGCCTCACGCTTCATGATGGATGTTTAAGCATAAGATTCGGTAAGCTGGACGTCAAGAACGAAGCTCTCGAATATGGGGCTTTAAATTTTGCTATTTTGAGTTTGGTGCCAGAAAATCGCAGAGTGCCGCTAGCTAGCTGAAAAAAATCTGCAGAATTTACTTACACAACAAAAGTCCATATGTTACTTTGAAAGGCTTTGATCTTGCACGGTGAAGCAAAAACAAAAAATTCGTGAAGTATGTCATTTTGCGGAAAAAATCCCCTCATGTCCGCAGTTTTCCGGCGAAAATACTTTTTTACAATCGAGAAAACGTCGCAAGGCTCTAAATAGGCACTATGTCTCAATTTCTGGTTGCTTACTGTGTTTCTGTGGAAAAATTAGAGCGATAAGGGTATTTGTCCTGTGAAATGAGAAATTTCACAAATTTTTTGTTCTCGCATTTTCATGCGAGATCAAAGCTTGCAAAAATAACGTATGGACTTTTGCTGTGTAAGTGAATTCTACAGATTTTTTTCGGCTAGCTAGCGGCCCTCTGCGATTTTCTGCCACTAAACTCAAAATCGCAAATTTTGAAGCCCCACTTCAGAGAGCGTCGCTCTCGATGGCTAGCTCATGAAATGTTGTGCTTGAACTTCGATCATGGAGCGTGAGACTTCTAATATTTTCGGCATACAAGATTGTGAATTTAGGTTTAGTCTTTGAAAAGTTATTGAATTTTGTTTGAATTACGCAAGAACTTTCGTGCCAACCTAATATAATTTTAAAGGGTTTCGTTATGACCCCGCGGAGATCAATGACCAGAGCCAAATGCCCCGCCGGCTCTGGTCTCTCTCCGCTGCTCGTCTGCGTCTCCGCGCGCTGCGCGCTACCTCGCTACCCCAAGCGCGGGGCATTTGGCTCTGGTACCCTTTTCTTCGCTATTTCGAACCCAATTTTAGCAAGCTATATATAATTTTGAAGCTCTTGATCTCTATTTTCACGCTGACAACGTCGCAGGACTCCTTTTTATGATTTAAACAAGAAAACCGGCAGAAACCTTGTTTTTGAAAATCTCTCGTTTTTCTCCTAGTTTGACTCTTTTCACGCAGTTTCTTTGTGTAGTCGATAGGTCTTGTTTCTGTCTATAATGTAGACAACGTCGCCGAGCTTATTTCTTTGCTTATGCCGCTTTTTTTTGTGAAAATTACTAAAAAATGCGTTTTTCTTTACCCTATTCTTTTTCAGTAGTTTCGCAACGAATTTTCTCCAGCTTGGACGATACTTGCTCAGAATGATGAGCGAAAGAATCTAGACAACGTCGCAGGGTACAAGAGGGACGGCGTGGGGGGTAAAATTTAAAGGACGCATCAAAAATCAAAACCCCTGTTGCGAATTGCTGGTCCTTGAGCGAAAACTTGCACTCTGTAAAGCCGCCAAATGAAAGATTTCAAATCTTATTGCAGCGTTTTTATCCGGTTTACAGCCGTTTCTTTTGCTTTTTATGTCTGTTTTACGTCATATTCTCTTCTCTGATCTTCTTTGGACAACCTTCACCATTTGTGATGTCAGATGTTCAAACAACCTTCACTTTTGGCACCCTGTCTCTAGACTATCGAAGGCATGAGCCTGATAGATCGCACTTCCCAGGCTGAGATATTAGACCTTCAGAGAAATGCTACCTCATTTTCGAACACTGATGATTGTTCTGCTAGGATCCCATAAATCATGCGAATGCTCTTGATGGTCTGAATAAAAATATTTATTGCCATTTACATTCACATGATCAACAAGATTCTGCTTGATTTCCTACTTTGACTTAGAGATGTTTATTGACCGTAGTAATTGTCAACTTTGCGCAATACCTGTTTCAGGTGGACATATTTTGGTCTTTGAGGCAATAACATGTCGGCTCGTCTGGAGCCTTCATCAAGTACGCTTCAGTCTTCTCCAGCAGTGTGAGTCACACCCTAAAAAGCTATGGATTCTTGCATTTTTCAGCGCAATGCTAATACAAATTTCTTCCAGGAGAAAGGCGCCCAGCGGAATACATGACTTGAAATAACTTTTCGCCATTTCCAAAAATCGTCATTTTTACGCAATTTGGAGACAATAACTTTGCCAGGACAATTTAACACCGCGAAGAAATGCTTAGCAAGGTATCACATTTCATTCTCCCCTTCAATCCTCTCCTCATATTTCTGTGAAGAAAAAGTACGTTTTGAGCTTACTGCCGTCCTTCAAAAGCCACATAACTAGACAGAAACCGAACATTCTCGTTTTACACCAGGTTATTGTACTTTTGATTCTTCCAATGTGGTTCTATCAACTCGTCATAAGCAGCGAAGTTCTATTAAGAGCGCAATTATAAGTGCCCTTGAGACGAAGACTAAAAGATTTTTTGAATCTTCAAAATTCATTATCTTCCTTGTCCTTCCACTTTCCATACGTTTACCAGGAAACAGCTGCTCAACATTCGGCTTATACTTTTGCGCTTTTTGCTTTCTCTCAAGATTATGGAAGCTTTTGAAGTTAGTCTATCTATCATTGCACACTCTACAGTCATCAAGAACTGAAGAACATTTTACTCATGATATATGTGATCCTTCGTAACTACACATCGTCTCGATTTTGCCTACCTCTTTCTTTTGTTCCTCCCAATAGACTGTTTATAACTATCCAATGTTTATGTTTACACACTTTACATTTACGGCAGCAAATGTTTTGATAATTAACAAAAATTGCACCAAATGGGTGCATCTGTGGTAGACACATCACATCAACTGTTTGAACTTCATTACCCAAACATTTTCTAAAGATAACTGGCGACAAAAATATATGTCAGCTCCAGTGGCGCCCACGTTTCCATTGAAGGGGGGGGGGCATAAAAATTTTTTCTTAGGAGGGTTTAAAAATTATTTCATATCATTTACAAGCATAAACAAGTCATTTGCACATTTTCAAAACCCATGTAAGCAACTTTAGAAAATTTCACGACCCTTTCTCGCAAAGGAGAGGGGTGCCCCCCCCCTCGGCTCGCCACCCGGTCAGCTCAACATTTATAATCGGAGGCAGCTGCACTAATAGCTCTTTAATATACAAGAAATTTTTCACCATCAAACCAATGGTTTTTTTCTTTCCTCCTCTTTTGTTGTTTTTTCTCTTTCGATTGTGATTCAGTTGATTTACTCTAGGATGCTTGTGTTAGATTACAGCACTCCTTTTTGCGTAACAAATAAATGGATAAATAAATAAATAAATAAATAAATAAATAAATAAATAAATAACGAATAATAAATGATAAATAGTAAATAAATAATAATAAATAATAAGTAATGAATGATAATAAATAAATAAATAAATAATAAATAAATAAACAGATAAATATTAAATAATAAATAAATAAACTGTACAATCAAATTATTTATTGTGACGATAAATGTCCAAAGTGTGAATTGTGTATAGTAATACTGAGTCTGTTTGCCTGTCTGTCTGTGCGTGTACGTATGTTTCGAGTAGAAACTTTTATTTCTGAGCTTCCGGAAAATTGCCATGCGTACACTCCGGGGTGGGGCGCGTGTCGTAGACTTTTCGCCTTGATCGATATCGATTTTGTCGTTTTTTGCAAGGTTTCACTTACGAGATTCGGAGTTGGCACAGGGGCGGGGGGAGGGTAAGTTAAACATGCTAATTACGAAAATATCATTGAGGTGGATGCGCGGAGCCGGGTTTGCCTGCTAGTGAATAATAAAACGATGAAGAGTTATTTTGAGTATGTCTTGCCTCTGTGCCTGTATAGAATTACAGTAATCAAAAACTACTGTGGAAGCTCTTCAGAGGGAAAGAGTAAACAACTAATCATAGTAGTTCTAGCGTTCGAATTCCTAACATCACATCCGGGTAGCGCAAAAGATCAGGAGGAAGTGATCTAGTCTATTAATGATCTCAACGAAATGCTTATTCTAAATGACCGAAGTTCCATACATTTGTATGAGATTCATTTATTGAATATGTTAAGCTTTTGACAAAAGCACTGGTAATCACATTGGGTGTATACAGGGTGTCCCAAAAAAATGTATCGAACATTTGATCGTTAATATCTCTCTTCCCAAGAAGTCTTTCGTCTTGCTTTAGGTACCATTTTTGTAGAGCTGGCTTCAACTTAGATTTGCATTATAGAACGAATCACCCATCTCTCTTCGTTACTGTAGGATTACGGTAGAAACTTGAAACATAAGGTGTCAATGTGGAAAAAGCTGCCATTTCAAAAATTTTCGAAAAAATGTGAAAACTTGTGTAACAGGGTTTTTATAGACGCTGAGTTCAATACTCAACTATGCACAAGATTGCGAAGCTTTCTAAACGGTGTAACCGCACTTTTTAGAAACATTGAAAAAATGCCGCTATGCTTACCTGGCATAACTCTCCAATGAAGCATCATAATAAGCTGGGAACTTTACAGTTAGAATCAGCAACTCTAATCAGCCTAGTGTAAAAGTTTTCAGGATGTTTTGTTTCCTTTCTGGGGCAAAATATGGCCTTTCATTGCTTAAAACCCTCTTTGAAGTTTCTACCGTAATCCTACAGTAATGAAGAGAGATGGATGATTCGTCCTATACTGCAAATCTAAGTTGAAGCCAGCTCTACAAAACGGTATCTGAAGCAAGGCAAAAGACTTTTTGGGAAGAGAGATATTAACAATCAAACGTTCGATACATTTTTTGGGACACCCTGTACTTGATTCCAGTGGTTGGTCAAAAAGTATCAGTGATATGCGTAGAAAACTTCCAAATTCGGTACAGGTTATATGAATTCTTAGATCCCACTATATGTATGTAATGGAAGTTTCAATAATACTTATATATGAGGAAGCAGTTCGAGCCTCTCAACTTTGAACGCGAATATGATTTGTTATATTGTTGTTTAATAGTTTTATCATATGTTTTTTATTTTTAATACATTGTCAGTCACATTCTAATTCTCTGTGAACTCTAAACACATTCTAGTCTTCTCAACTTCAAGCGTGAAGTAATCTGATTTGTTGTATTGCTGCATGATAGCTTTTTACCCTTGTTTTTTATTTTTATACAAGGAAGTCACATTCTAGCTTTCTGTTATGTGTACTATCAAATTTTAATATATTGTTATATGTAACATATGACCGCTTTCTTATGCATTGCTTTCCACGACTGTTAATTAGCAATCCATATCTAAAAATCTAAACAAGATTGTATTAGGTTGAACCGAAAGTTCTTTCGCACCAAATTTAAAAATTCATAACTTCTGATTTTTCCGACCGATTTGAGCGTTTTAATTTTTCTATGAAAGAGTAAGTCATGCTCTTTCTTATGGTATCTTAGCTGCTTGTTAATGGTCATCTGTTGCATAGATAGGAGCGATAGAAAAGAATTGGTCGAACTTTGAATTTTCTGCGTAGGGTCAAAAAAATCGAAAACTTACAAGAAAAAGAGCAGTCGATACTGTAGGTTGTTCCACCAGCTCTTTCTAGCTGTGCAAAGTTTGCGCTGATTGAGCGTCTTTATGAAAAGTTATGATTTCCCCGAAAAATGCTTGCTCGAAAATCGTTTTTCACAGAGACGCTCAATCCAAACTTTGCACTGTTAGAAAGAGCTGGTGAAATAACCTACAATACCGACTGCTCCAATTTTTGTTGCAAGTTTCCGATTTTTTATGACCCTACACAGAAAATTCGAACTTTGAATAATTTTCTTCTATCGTTCCTGTCTATGCAACAGATGACCAGTAGTAAGCAGCTAAGATGTCGTTATAAAGAGCATGACTTACTCTTTCGTACAAAAATAAAAGCAGTCAAATCGGTTGAAAAAATCAGAAGTTATGAATTTTTGAAAATGATGCGATAGAGCTTTCGGTTCAACCTGATATACAGGGTGTTCCAAAAGTATGTATGCACTGTTTGATCGTTAATATCTCTCTTCCCAAGAAGTCTTTCGTCTTGCTTTAGGTACCATTTTTGTAGAGCTGGCTTCAACTTAGATTTCCAGTATAGAATGAATCACCTATCTCTCTTCGTTACTGTAGGATTACGGTAGGGTTGTAACATATGGTGTCAATGTGGAAAAAGCTGCCATTTCAAAAATTTTCGAAAAAATGTGAAAACTTGTGTAACAGGGTTTTTATGGACGCTGAGTTTAAAACCCAACTAATCATAAGATTGCGAAGCTTTCTGAACGGTATAACCTCACTTTTTAGGAACATTGAAAAAATGACCGCTGCCTCTTACCTGGCATAACTCTTCAGTGAAGCATCATAATAAGTTGGGAACTTTACAATTGAAATCAGCAACTCTAATTAGCCTAGTGTAAAAGTTTTTAGGCTGTTTTGTTTCTTTTCTGAGGCAAAATATGGTCTTTTATGGCTCAAAACCCTATTTGAAGTTTCTACCGTAATCCTACAGTAACGAAGAGAGATGGATGATTCGTTCTACACTGAAAATCTAAGCTGAAGCCAGCTCTACAAAATGGTGCCTAAAGCAAGGCGAAAGACTTCTTAGGAAGAGAGAAATTAACGATCAAACAGTGCATACATATTGGGACACCCTGTATCTGGGATAATTGATGGCGAAATCATATCTGAGGTAAGAGACTATATCTGCACGTTTACGACTGGCATTGTAAATTTTTTCAGACATCCTTTTTCTTCTCCATTTCCTTGTTCCATTACTCATTGATTATCAAAAGAAGGGTCTAGAGTGCTTTACTTGACGTTTTTTTTGGGAAATGAAACTCTTATCCTCTTATCGAATTAGGTGTAATTTCATCGAATTTCACTTATCATTTTACAATACGTCATCAAATCAGGAAAGCAAATTTTGTGTTGTAACGACTTTGGTATTTGCATGTTTCTCACGCATGCGAAAGTTTTGTTGGAAGCACCTGAAAGTCTTCTGCTGATGTGCCAGATGAAGAAAAGTGCAAAAATCTATTCAGATATGTGGCAAAGAACGTTTTCTGCTCACTGCGAACAAACTGCGAACCTTAAATCAAGCTTAATCTTGTGCTACAATCTAAAAGAAAATTGCACATAAAAAATTTCGTGCCATTCTAGATCTCCGTGGAGATACGTACGCAGTCAGTGATCCAACTCACAATAAGAACCGTTTATTTTTAGATCACGCAAAATGTTCTTATTTTCCCCCCATTAATAAGTCTATAAGTGCAAAAAAAATTTGTAGAATTGTGACTAGTATTTTGGCGGTGATCATATCCTTATCACATTCGCATTTTGCCTTGAATTTTATTCTTTCCTTGTCATATGGTAAAAAAGCTCTATTTGATCCTATTTCATTTTTTCTCAGCATTTTTATGATTCATCAGCTCTCTCTACTTTTGGATCATCTACACAAATAAAAACCTCCCTCACCGGCTATGATTTATTCAGCACAGGCTAAGCAATCAGATGCTAGCTACTGCAAAAAATTTCAAAAGCCAGTACCGGTTATAACAATATTGGTGTTTCGTGAAAGTGCTGTGCAAACATCTACAGCCATTTCGTTGTGGATTCGTTAGCAAGTTTTTTAATGTTTCGAAAAGTGTGACCAGTTTGCATTTTTGACAAAGTTCTTCCGATCGTTGAAATGATATATAGCTCAAATTTACATGCTCTTTTGAACAATTGAATTCGGAATTTCAGGTAAGGGATCTTCTCTTGTTCATAGAGCTTTTATGACTCACTGTATAAATGTTTGATGAAAACTGAGTGCCGTTTGCGAGATGTTGCACTCGGCGATGTGATGACGCCATTTTGTTTTCATCCGACATTGTTCGTGCTTCGAAGTCCAGCCACCGACCGCTATCCTAACTTCTTGTTCTGATTTATTTCCTTCCTACTGCACTGCGTATGGCACTTTTCTCCTTTTTCAGTATGCCTCGGAAAACATCTTTCAGCCATTTATAAAACGGAACGATAATAATGTCACATTCATCTTTTTCGGTTCCACTGTCCTCGATTACCATCTGACCAGAAATTATTTTTACTACCATTTTCTTGTAACCTACTGCATTGTGCTCCATTATTTACAAATTTTATTACCACACGCGGTAATCCTTGCTAGAACTAGTTTGCGGGACAGATCTGGTCACTCATTGTTTCAGGGTCTGTCTGTTTTCGTCAATATGACGGAATCAACGCACTAATTTGATTGCCACTTTGATACATCTGTAATTTTTATGGATTGAAATGTTTCCAACTGTTCTAGACAACCGAACATCTAACCCCTCGTTTCTTTGATTTTCGCTTCATCTAGTAGGTTCGAAACTTACAAACTGAAAGGACTTTCATCTTTCTGCTGTATAAGACGTATGGCCGTGTCAGGCACGAAAACCAAGCTGTAGTCATTTTGATAAATTTTGACAATGGCAGAAAATATCTTCATCTAATTATATTTAACACAGAGTTTTTAAATGAATAAATCTCGTTTCTATCTTTTTTCCAAGCAACAGTCTTTCGAAAAGGTTTAGGTTATTGAAAATGCGTCATTGAATGCCAGTTATGCAAATTAATGACCAGAAACTAACGTGAGTCACTGTCGTCACAGCATACCAATGAGTAGAGTTTCAGCTGACCAGTGTAACTTCATTAGTAAAACGAATTTATTTGGAATGCATTAAAAGTCGATCTAAAGTGACATGATGTCGGGCTTCACTTTGAATGCACTTCTTCTTCTTCTTTATTCTCGGTATCTTCTATTTGAAACTTTTTGACCCATTTAGTCGAGATGAGAATAAATCGAATGCTTTGACTGCGAACGCCTTTCAGTGTCGTAAAAGTCGTTTTCTTAGTTTTGAAAATATGATTTGCCCTAGCAAGGTTTGCACTATTTTAGAAAAAGAAATCCATAGGTCGTTCTTTCTTGATACCTGGCATTTAATCTTCTTCAAAACCTTGATGTTTCTATAAGAGAAATTTTTGTCTTTTTATCTTCTTCAAAACGTTGATGTTTCTATAGGAAAAATTTTTACCTCACCCATCATCGTTCTTTGGGGAGCCATATGGCTTTTGAACTCTTTCGCCCACATACGCTCATAAAATTTTTTTATCTTTAAGTTGTGGGTGTCCACGCTCCAATAACGAGCGCTAAGTCCGGTACAACCTACGATAAGATGTTCTCAAGTAGAAGCTTGTTACCCTAGAATCCATGATAAGAACGGGTACAAAAGACAGCGAAATATGCAAAGGAAACACATGCGCCTCTTATCACTTATAGTGCGAATGTTTGTTAAACCAAATTTTCTGCTTGCAAGTGCGATAGAGTAACTAAGCCTGAATTCTTAGTCATAATTTTCAGTTTAAACATATAATACGCTATAAAACTTAGCCACTTCTCGGTATTTTTCCGTTACTGCAGCTTTTTTGGTCAACCATCCTAATCTTGCAGATGAACCGCTAGTTCGAAAGTTTATACTCTCGACTTACGATTGGGTAATTTTCACGAAATTGCAGACAAGGTTGCTATGTTCAAGTCGAAGACTTTAAGAGCACTGAATTCTTATGGTTTATAAGTAAAACGCATTATTAATTTATTCAAATTAATCAAAAATGCTGCTGATACACTTTTGGCTCTTAAAAATGCACACATCTGTTAAAATGAATTTTCAGGTTAGCCCACATTTTTTCAAAAAGTTTTTTTAGTCCTTTCCCATGATCTATATATTGTTGGCCAGCTATGTAGATCATACTGTTAAATTTCTTGAAATTTTTCTGCCTGAACACTTTACAAACATTGGCTAATCTTCAGCTCTCTTTTCGTGAGGTGTGCTCTCTGCACGCTCACAGTATAGCGATCATTAAAAATAGCTCGCGAAGAAGTTCTAAACGAGGTATAGGAGACCCTTCTTGTATTTTGTGCAAACTATTTATTTTGTAGTTGGAAAGTTGAACTAAGCGTTAAATTGCACTTAGTTGTAGTCTGCAGACTTTGGGCAGAGTACCATGGCTCCCCAGTTGCTGTCATTAGCTTTCTCACTGCTTTTGTATCGCCACTATATACCTACATATTACCTATTATATTATACAAGTGCGGACGAAAATAGCGTACTTCCGTACTTCGAAATGCAAAGACATTTAACAGAGAGATATCGAACATGTGTAAATCACTGGAGACTCAAACGTTTTAGTCAGACCCTAATTGACCATCTTTTGAGTTCTAGCATTTTTCCTCCTCCTCCTGCTGTTCAGATGGAGGCTATGGCATGCTTGCATGAAGTGCTCTTATGTAATTTTGGACAATTTTGGCGGAGGACACTTGAAACGAGAAAAAAGTAAACATTAGAGAAGACTCATTTGAAAGGCCAATCATATCATTAGATGATATGGGACGAAAAATCAGCATTTTGTAAATATTTACCCAATTTGACGATTTTATGATATGTTCTATGTTATGTGAAATAATATCGCTTTGTTATTCAGCTTCTTGGTGGCCACTTCATATCTCGCCTACTTATAAAACCTGCCAAGTGGTTGAACAAAAGCACTTTTGATTAGCAATTTTGTTGAGTGAATTTGGATGGTCATGCTACGCAATTTTCAGTGCTCTAATTCGATTAAGAAACTGAAGATTTCAAGATAAAAATGACATCTGCGGAGAAGTTGGGAGAAGTTAAAAGCTTTAATCAGTTCCTTTCTTGTCTTCAAAATCTCATACCGTCTGTAACATCGAAATTCATTTGCAATCCTAGTTTCCCAAAGTTCCATGAGCTTAACCTGGTTTTGACTGATGGTTGATTAGGTATTGTTGAAATAAGACCTGGAGTTTGATGATTTCTTACTGCGTTAACTCTGCTACTCATGAAAAAATTCGAATTACAGAATTAAAGTTTGGGATGAAACCAAGGTCATTGCAATATCTCCTCCTTGCAACCTGTTTCATCTGTCTTCTCTCCCTAGCCGCAGCAAAAGAATTAGCATTTGTGCAAGCTATTTGGAGACATGGAGATCGGGCACCTTTGTCACATCCTTACCCAAATGACCCGTACGATGAAAGTGCATGGCAACGAGGCTGGCAGCAGTTGACTAATGTAAGCTGGACAGATAGAATTAAGACAAAAAATATATATCAAAATACTCTAGATAGGCATTGCACAGCTAAACGAACTTGGAAGATATTTTCGATCAAAATATGGATCTTTTATCTCACCTCACTATGTAGCGAGTCAGGTGAGTCATGCAACCGAGGGGCGAGTAATGAGTATTAATAATCATTTTCAGGTCTATATACAATCATCGGACTCGGATCGAGCCCTTACCTCTGCGCAAGCTTTCATCTCAGGATTCTACCCCGCACAAGATAGTTTCCAATGGCAAAATGGCAATCCTTGGCAACCAGTTCCAATTCATGCTACGACACCTATCAAAAAAGATTTGGTAAGTTGGCAGCTCTAAAGAAACTTCTAAACTCGATCTGGAGTTTGTGCTGTATAGTTTGAAATTTTTTTTTACAGCTACTTAAACCTACTTCGGTTGATTGCAAGGATTATGACAGTATCGTGGACGCCGATGATGCAAAATATGCTGCTGTTTATAATATACAGTATGCGGATATGTTCAAAGTGCTTGAAGAAAACACTGGCATCGCGAGTTTCTCATACGTAAACGTCAACAAAATTTATGATATAACAAGAGAGGTGAAGATTAGAAAATTTTTGGCAAATTTCGGATGTTATTTTGTTGGCTGTTTTAGCTGACTAACAATTTGACGGACAAACAACCACCATGGGTGTTCCATATATGGCCTCAGTATAACAACCGCAGTACTTTGGATATAATAAGTGAGATGCGACGTATACGCATGATGACGAAGTTCGACTCCCCTGATAAGGCAAAGGTAAAAATGATCTTTTTCAAAGACCTTAAGTTACTTACAAAAATAACAAAAACACCCAAAAACTGCGGGCATCAAAAAAGTTAACAACGAAACAACTCAACTTTTTTTTACTTTTTTTCACTAAGTTCCGAAGACTCTTCAATCTGCTTTTAATCTGCGAATCATTTTTCGTTGAAATCATGTTATCTTTGATGGCATTGCAAGTGACTTTTTCTAAGGGGGGGGGGGGACATTTGAGGAGATGACAGAAAATATACCTGCATGAAGGGACATGGCGCTAGCTAAATAATTCTTGGATTCTTTCGGAAATTCAAAGCTGAATTTTTTGGGAGACACCAAAATTTTTCTGAGTAATCACAACAAATAAGTAGCAATGTCACCTGCCCCCGCCTTGTTTAGCCTGCTTCTTGTCGGTTACAAGATGAAAGATTACAACTTTGATCCAATATGCCTTAAAATGCTCTTTATTCCATTAAGACCTTGAATTATTGAATGTTTCAAGAACACGGAGAGATTCCACTGTTCAGATGACAGGAGGCTACTTGCTAAACACCTGGATCAAAAACGCTTTGAAGGTTGCGAACGGAACTATGAAGAATCCTAACAGAATGATGTTGTATTCTGCGGTATGTTTATTCACAATCATGATCTGTCAAAAATACCCAGATGTGATTTTTCAGCACGATGGCAGCGTACTAGCATTGATGTATGCTATGAATGTTGCAAATGGCTTGATGGTTCCTTACGCATCAGCTGTAATTATGGAAGTTTACAAAGACAAAAATGACTTCTTGGTTGAGGTCAGATTTACATCGTCTGACTTGCCATTTTGCAAACAGCCTCCGTTTCAGCTTCTTTATCGGAATGATACTTCAAAGCCTCCATATCGCCTCCAAATTCCTGGATGTTCGGACCGTTGTACGGTTCAGAAGATGGCTGAACAATATTCAAACATGGTGGTGACCAGTTTGAGCAAACATCAGGAGGTTAGAACGCTGATTAGTAGTTTTTTCCTTATCGGAATGTTCAATCGATAAGATATAAAGATTAGGTTCCACATTTTAGAGCTTTTCAAAAAAATGCGCGATAATGCTTCCATTCTGTAAGAGAAGATACCAAATTCAGCGCGATTAGATCGTTTCTATGTGTACATTGATTACCGTAATCTCTCGGCTACGATAAGACGTTTATTCGTAACTCGCCTTCCCATCCTTGCAGATCAGCAAAGATTACGGTGGTGCGATGTAAAAGGAGCCCCTGATTTAGCCCAAAAATGTTAATCCAAACTGAAATACCCTCTCTAGAAGGAGTTTTACCAGGCAACTTTGAAACCCGCCTTTTCTGAAACGGATGCATAATAACAGTGTATGCCTTTCTCCCGGATCCATTTATCTTGACATCAGTCTAATGAAAAAATTTGGTGATTTTCTAATTTGATTAAGTTGACAATGGCTATCTTTTTTTCCAATTCTCTCGTTTAGGTCTGTGGTACGCCAATAATTGAGTGCAATAAGTCGACGTCGACTCCGTTTTCTCTCGCCCTCTCTATTATTTTGGTAGTCGCAATACAACCAAATTTTTTATAACTAAGTTTGGTATACTTTCGTCCATTTCCACACATATCCTTTTGTACTTGCCATTCTCACTCTCGCTCTCGTCATAAGTCTATACTTTTCTCTCTAGTCATTTTGATTCACTACGTCTTGTTGTATGACATCAGTCTTTAATCTCATTGACTTTTCGTAGGTATGATGATAGGTCATATGCGTCATGTATAAATTATTTGAACGTTTTTGCATGTATCAAAACAAAATATGAAGCATGAAACTTGTCAAATCTCAACAGCACTCCTCCAGTTGATAAGGCAACTCGATTGTTTATGAATCTAAATGTTTATTCAGAACTGAAACAGTTTTCTTGATCCTTTTATTAATTGCCACTGAATTAACCAAATTTCTTTATGGCGTTCTGGCGGTTCGGGCATTCGCCTTTGTTAGAGCCTGGAAAAGTCATGCTTTGACTTCTTTCCCCCAAATAATTGTTGTAAATAAGGGAAACATGAGCTTATTTACAACAACTCCTCCAGTTGCTATAAATAAACAGCTAAATAGTTTTGCAGTGAATTTGCCTGCAGAAGCGCTCCATACTCACATTCTTGTATTGCTGAACGAATCTAGTTGCCAAAGCTTGACTATTCTAATATTAGGCTATTGAAATTTCTTGAGAATGTAATCTCTTTCAAACTCCCACCTTCTTTGCCGGTTGTATATCGCATATAATAAATACCCTTGTTCTGCGAAACGCAAAATAGTAATAATGGCCATAAGTGCAGATCCACTACAAAAGTGCAAGACCTGATCGGTGGTGATCCTTGCAAAGTATAGAATGTATTATCATAAGCTTTTGAACACCGCAGGCGTGATTTTAGAAGTGCTGAGAGCACATAAGAATCAATAGTAAAGCTAATTTATTTTTTTCTAATCCTGTGCAGCTGTTTGGAGGAATTGCCTGGACCACCACTCGAAGCGTTCGCGAACTTGCCTCGTGGCATTTTCCCCAGAGACGGTAAACATGCGCGGTTTTTATGCAGGTTATCATAACAAAAGCTCAGTTCAGTGGTACAATACCGCTCACAGAATGTGCAAACCGTGAATGTCGCAGAATTCCGGGAATTCCGGGAATTTCGCGACATTCCCGGAATTTCGCGACAATCCCGGAATTTCGCGACATTCATGTAAATCACGCAATTACGCAGGGCCATAACTTCTTTCCGATTGAGTGTATTCAATGTCCGAAAACAGCATTGTATTCAGCTTGTCAAGGCGAATCTTCCGATATACAACATGTCTTTGAAATTTTGTTTCCAATTTTTTCAAACTTTTCTGCGCGCGTATATTCGCAAGATCGCAACGCAGCGCACATCAAACATAAAAGACTCCAATAAGCACTATTGGATTGTGCTGCTTCCGCGGATTACCGAGCGCTAAAAACGAACCTTGGAATCTTTTTCAGAAAACATAGAAGAGCTGGTGAATTCTGGAAGAATCGTGTTCTCCCAAATTTTGCCCACTGTAACCCTAAAATGGGAAGCTCTCCTGCTAAGCAAATGCGACTTTCGTAATCAGCAGGTCAGATAACCTCTTTGAGCGAGGTTTCCTTATAATCCAAGATCATCGACATTTTGACCAAAACCCATCGGCGAGCTTCAGGGCGTAGCACGAGAAAAAATCAAGTCGCCCGAATTTCTTTGAAAACTTGCTCATAGAGGTTATCTGACCTGCTGATTACGAAAATCACATCTGCTTAGCAGTAGAGCTTCTCATTTTAGGGTTACAGTGGGCAAAATTTGAGAGAACATGATTCTTCCAGAATTCACCAGCTCTTCTATGTTTTCTGAAAAAGATTCCAAGGTTCGTTTTTAGCGCTCGGTAATCCGCGGAAGCAGCACAATCAAATAGTGCTTATTGGAGTCTTTTATGTTTGATGTGCGCTGCGTTGCGATCTTGCGAATATACGCGCGCAGAAAAGTTTGAAAAAATTGGAAACAAAATTTCAAAGACATGTTGTATATCGAAAGATTCGCCTTGAAGAGCTGAACACAATTCTGCTTTCGGATTTCGAAAATGTTCATCTTGAAGGAAGTTACGGCTGGTAGAACTTGGAACAGCTTAATTTTTCCAGAGTTTATCAGCTCTTCTATCTCCTTTAAAAGAGAGTCTTCGGCTGCTGTTTAGCACAGAATAATCTACTGAAAGAGTACTATCGAAGGGTGCCTACGGCAGTCTCCTATGTGTGATGCTCGTTGCGTTACACCCATGCGAAGAGGCGTCCGCATGCAAATTCAAGATTATTGAAAACAGGATATTGGAGACACCCTGTATAGCAAAAGATTCGCCTTGACGAGCTGAATACAATGCTGTTTTCGGATTTTGAATACACTCATTCGGAAAGAAGTTATGGCCCTGCGTAATTTGCATGACTTACATGAATGTCGCGAAATTCCGGGAATGTCGCGGAATTCCCGGAATTCTGCGACATTCACGGAAATTTTGCACATTCTGTGAGCGGTATTGTATGTGCGAGCCTTCAGAAAATTAGCCTTCCGAACATTGTGCTTCGAGCTACTAGCTATCTGAAATGGTCGTTTGCTGAGTTTGATAAATTTGATTGAAAAAACAGTGAAATATTTTGAATTGATATCAGTTGCACTTTCAAATGTTTTTGACCTTCAGAATTTATGTTTTGAATTTTTTGGTGGTGATAAGACTGATCAACCCATGTGGCTATCTGGATATCTCCTTACAAGTCTTAAATGCATCTAGGGGCATCATAAGACACAGGCAATAAAAATCACGATTCTTGACATAAATTCTTCATACTTTTTTTGTGCCCATGGTCCTCCAAGTATACAGCAAGTTTGGTGCCATATCGTTACTTGTACATTGAAAACGAGCCTATCTTGAGCGCCACCCCCGCCGGGCCCTGCCTTTCATGTTTCCCTACAACCTCTACTCTTTGCTCATGTCAACGCCGAACGAAGAAATCGCGATTAATCCACGTCGACTGACGAAGCACACCGCAGACAATAAAGTTAGCATTACCTTCAAATTCGTGAAACTCGGTAAGTAGGTATGGACGGCTTGTGCTAATACATTGTAGTCATAGAGGTAAGTTGAAAAAATTATCTATCTGAAATGTTTCTTTTACTGCAGCCTCCATCCTTTTTAAATGATTACGCTGTTGACATGAGTAATAGTTTGTGGCAACAAAGTTAACGCTGGATAACAAGCACTTCAGCCGTCTTCGAGGCAATCGTTCTCAAAAATGTAGTGGAGCTCATTCGCAGTGCTCAGTGATGGAAGATACCCTCAAGCTATTGATATCTCCGTCAATCCCAGTTTCATGCCAGGTGGGATAGCTGGAGAAACGATCTCAGAAACTATAGTGGTCTTTTGACAGTTTTTTGAGTAGGTTATAAGCAGGGCCAAGCGTGGGGTGCGGCACGCCACACCTGGGGGGTCGTATTGAGGAGTCAAAAGGGGAGGGGGTCGTAGTTGGGTAGTCTGATAATAGTGATAAAATGATTTTCGTATTTTATCCCTAATTAGCATGTCAATTAACCCCTGACAAAGTGTGAGCGAATTCTGAAGATTCAAGATACTAGGCTACCTAAGTGAAATGGTCAAATTCCAACATGGTTAACTTTGTTTCAATGGTGAATTAGCTATCCTTTTTGCACCCAAGACAAAGCATTACTCTTTCTTTGTCCATCTCACAAATCCCGCTTCAAAAAACCTCCAAACTATGGAATTAGAAGCCAACCAAAATCTCGTTTTTCCCATTTTTCGCTTTTGATCGCTGTCTTTCACCAAATATTATTTAGAGCTAAGAAGACGAATCAAGCTGGCGGCCGCAGCTTTTAAGGGGGTGTGCCGCACCCCATTAACTATATAAAAAAACATTTTTAACGGACAGTATTTATATGAATCGATAGCCTAAACCTTGTAGATTCCATAGGACTGTTTGGAGCCTGATTCTTCTTAGCTCTGAGGAATATTTGGTGAAAGCACAGCGATCAAAAGCGAAAAATGGAAAAAAACGAGATTTTGGTTGGCTTCTAATTCCACAGTTTGGAGCTCTTCTGAAGCGGGATTCCTGAGGTGGACAAAGGAGTAGTGCTTTGTCGTGAGTGCATAAACGGATAGCTAATTCACCTTTGAAACAAAGTTAACCATGTTGAAATTTGACCATTTCACTTAGGTAGCCTAGTATCTTGAATCTTCAGAAGTCCCTCACATTTTGTCTACAGGGGTTATTTGACATGCTAATTATGGATATGTTGCCCACTATGGACAGGGCCTTCAAGTAATGCTATCTTAAGTGTATAGTTCAGGGGAGGGTATTATTAAGACAGCGAGCAGGGGGGGGGGGTCCTAACCAGCGATTGTGTGCCACATCCCTTGCTTGTCCCTGGTTATAAGCTGTATCCTCATGCGCGGGACCGTGCTTGTCTTTGATTATTGGTGTAAGAAAATCAGAATGTACAAAAAAAAGAAACAGGAATAAAGTCGGCCAACCCGCAATTTCTTCGCACTGTATACAGTTGACTACAGAGACCCAAATCGGCAATAACATGATAGATCACTCGCTTTCCGTTTCATGACGTCTCCCTCGCTCCTTCTTTCCTCATTCCTTTCTAGGGAGTATGAATAGGACCTGCAGATTAACCTCAAAAAAGGAAGCACAGTTTGTAGAGAATCCCACTATAAATTTATGCTGAGACGTTCCTCTTCAATCAAAACAGGAAACAGAACTTTTTTCAGTTCTTCAATCACTTTCTAAAAAACATGAAAAAACGTTGTTGCTGTTTACATGGCAAAACTTACGAAGAAATTTTTACGTCAAAATGCGAATTTCATAGTCATAGTCAGCAACTCAGTTTAGCCTAATGATAATGGCCCGTAGTGAAGTGGAACGTTTCTGCCTTTTGTGCGTTATTGGTCGAATGGATAAGACTAATGCGTTTCAAGCGGCATAGCCGTGGTTCGATTTCGGCAAGCGGCACAATTTTTGCTACTTGGCCTGGCGACCTTTGATAGCGGCCGTTATCGAAAAAATCGATGATAGCCGCTATCAGAGATTTCACTTAGCGAACAACGGGATAAAACAAATACGAAGATTTTGGAATTCATACCAGGAAAAAAACACACTTGGTGAAGAATCAGTAGAAAAGTAAATTCACTCTCTTGTTTTCTAAAG